CCCACGCCTCCTGAAACCTCACCCTCTCCAGGCTCCATCCCTCATATCTCCAGAAATTTCCCACCTGGAGTTGGCAACCCTATCTCCTTCCCAGCCAATCATCAACCTACCTTTATTTCCCCCTCACTCTTCAGCTTTCCACCCCCCACACACCTGCAGCCTCTCCCGTGCTCTGAAGCCCTGACTGCTACGTCACACTGGGGGCCACCTCAGCAGTATATAAGCAGCATATAAGGATATAGAGCCCACCATTTTCTCCAGGGGAACTAATCTCTGCCGTCTGGAAAGCAGTTGTAATTCTGAGTGATCTCCAGCCCTCACCTGGAGATTGGACACATTTTACCTCTGAACAGCAAACTGCTTAGAATGTTAGAGGCAAAAGCCAATCAAGTTGCATATGCAAACGACCTCTGTGTTCCGAGGCAAAGGTCAATGAGACTGCATATGCAAATAACCTCTGTGTTCTGACTGGCTATGGGGGGGAGAGGAACATCAAACTGTTTAGAATGTTGGAGGCGAGACTCAAGCAATGCAGCCAGTGGATAGGGACAGATTCTGAGTGACACACCAGGGCGCCAACCAATTCCGGAGCGTGTGGAATGTTCTAGAGAAGTACCACCACCATTCAGCTTTTATAGATTGCAAAATGGCGTGCAGAAGGTTGATAAAGAAAAAGATCAGCTCTTTCTTCTCATGTGACATTACAGCTCAGGTTCACCCAGTGGAAATGACTGGCAGCCAGTTTTTACAAAAGACGCTTTCTCACATGACATAACGGCCAGTCACTTAGGCTGCGGTCACACACACTCAGTAATCCACTTCCAATCCACTTTCAGTGCACTTTTACTGTGTGAACTGGCCAAATCCAGTTGGAAAGTGGATTTAAAGTGGATTATTGAGAGTGTGTGACCGCAGCCATAGATGACTTTAAAAACTGAATAGACAAAATGTACTGGCACTGGCAAGGAGACTGACCCTGCAGATGCTGCCCTTGGGGCTTCCTGCCATTCAGGGAAGAAGGAATCGAATACAAATCTATAGCATGGCTGTATCAAAAAGGGCATTACGGAGCTGGGAAAGGTGCAGAAAAAAAGGAAACGGGGGAAAAAAAGAACAGAAAAGAAAAAGAAATTGACTAATAGAAGTATATAAGACTAGGAAAAAGGCTCGTTGTAGAAATAAATATTTATTTTTTTATTTATTTACATGTGATTTCTATACCGCTCATAACCCCTAATGGGTCTCAGAGTGGTTTACAATTTTGACTACATTTGTAGTCGATCCTAACTAAGACCACAATTTGTGCGGAGGGGGGGTTTTACCTAACGGCACCCAGACGGCGGGTTTCTTTGAGTGATCACCAGCCCTCACCTGGAGATTAGCAATGATGGTTCCCCAGAAGGGAATGGTTGGTTTGGAGGGTAAGTTCTATGGCTTTGTACCTGTCCGAGGTCCCACGCCTCTTGAATCCTCACCTTCTCCAGGCTCCATTCCTCACATCTCCAGGAATTTCCCACCTGGAGTTGGCAACCCTATCTCCTTCCCAGCCAATCATCAACCTACCTTTATTTCCCCCTCACTCTTCAGCTTTCCACCCCTGACTGCTACGTCACATCAACTGCACACTGGGGGCCACCTCAGCAGTATATAAGGATACAGAGCCCACCATTTTCTCCAGGGGAACTGATCTCTGCCATCTGGAAAGCAGTTGTAATTCTGAGTGATCTCCAGCCCTCACCTGGAGATTGGACACATTTTACCTCTGAACAGCAAACTGCTTAGAATGTTAGAGGCAAAAGCCAATCAAGTTGCATATGCAAACGACCTCTGTGTTCCGAGGCAAAGGTCAATGAGACTGCATATGCAAATAACCTCTGTGTTCTGACTGGCTATGGGGGGGAGAGGAACATCAAACTGTTTAGAATGTTGGAGGCGAGACTCAAGCAATGCAGCCAGTGGATAGGGACAGATTCTGAGTGACACACCAGGGCGCCAACCAATTCCGGAGCGTGTGGAATGTTCTAGAGACGTGCCACCACCATTCAGCTTTTATATATAAGGGAGATTACAAATGGAGTGCAGAAGGTTGATAAAGAAAAAGATCAGCTCTTTCTTCTCATGTGACATTACAGCTCAGGTTCACCCAGTGGAAATGACTGGCAGCCAGTTTTTACAAAAGACGCTTTCTCACATGACATAACGGCCAGTCACTTAGGCTGCAGTCACACACACTCAGTAATCCACTTTCAGTGCACTTTTACTGTGTGAACTGGCCAAATCCAGTTGGAAAGTGGATTTAAAGTGGATTATTGAGAGTGTGTGACCGCAGCCATAGATGACTTTAAAAACTGAATAGACAAAATGTATAGTGGCGAATCCTGGCTACATTTGAAGGATGGATGCTCAGGCAGGGTGGTGACCTGCTTGCCTCGTGGCCTTCTGGGCACTGGCTGCTGCGGAGAACAGAGCGCTGAACTAGAAGCCACCGGGTCTGACCGGCCAGGGCTCTTCCTAGGCTTTTGCTGCATGTTCAGTGCACTTCTCTGGCACACACACACACTCATATATACAAGTGTAGCAACCGAGTTTTGATTTGTTTCATGGACCACCTGTGAGCCAAACCCATGGGCATTATTTAGAGCTAACACTGGTATCAAATATACACATTTATTTGATAGGTCGTGGGACACAGGTGACAAGGATGACAAAAATGTGTCAAAAATCAAAAAGGTGATCTGACCTGGCAGCACAACAATGGTAATCCACCGAGATCTTGGAGGGGAAAGTCCTTTCTGGACTGGGAAAGGGAGGCAAGAATTCCAAGCCAACTTGGCACGCCGCTTCAGCCGCTGGGTCCAAATTAGATTAGTTTTGCTTTTGGCAAGAGGAAAACCCTGCGGGGAGAGGCCCTGTTCACTTCAGCAATCTGTCCCTGACACCTACTGAAGCCACTCGGCACTGCTGGACTCCTCAAAAGAAAGTCCAGCCCAGCACATGCAGAAGGGAAGCAGGGTGTTTGCTTTTTTTTAAAAGAGAGAATCAAAAACATCCGAGGAAAGGAAAGAGAGCACCAGGATTTCAGTGGGAAGGGAAGGCAGCCGGCCTCGCTGCTGGCGCTCAGGGTGGAAGAGGCATTTCAAGTATGAACCAGGAGTTTTGCCAACACCTCCTCGGGACAAACGATGGCAAGTGTCTGTTGGCACAACCTGCTGCCTCTGCCCAGCAGACAGTTTGGCCCCAGATGCTCCTTAACGCTGTCCCAGCTATTTCCTGACCCCTTCGTGGAGGACAAGGCTGGAGACAGAGGGCTGCATCTGAAGAGATGCTGTCATGATTTGGGCAGGGCTGGCTCAGTTGCACAAGCAGAGCCACAGAGGTGCCACGGAGCAGCACACAGCTCCCAAGGAGTGCCGCCCACAGTCCACTGAAGCGTCACAGAAGGGCCATACGGTGATCAGTGACCACATTCTTTTCTTTTGTTGTGCTTTCACAATTGGGGCCATCATTTGGGGGGAACCCGGTTTCTTTGCATGCTGTGCCTGCCTTCACTGTAGCCAACATTAACACGCAAGAAGTTGCTGCATAAGTTCATGCAATCAATATGGTATATACATTTGATCAAAATACAATATGAATAATCAATATCATTTTAATCTTGGTTTGTTTCAGCAAATATCATCAGGAGACCGAAGTCCCAACAAGATGCAAAAACGGCAACAGGACGAACTTTCTCGAGTTTTGACCGTTCGTTTCGACGCGTGTCTTTGTCAAGCATCAATTTTCCAGTGTTCTTCTTCACATCAATTGCACCATAAGGCACTCAAACATTCATGGATGGCTTTCCATAGCTCTTACATTCAACAATTGTTTCCGGACAACAAGTCCACGAGGCAAACAATTGTTGAATGTAAGAGCTATGGAAAGCCATCCATGAATGTTTGAGTGCCTTATGGTGCAATTGATGTGAAGAAGAACACTGGAAAATTGATGTTTGACAAAGACACGCGTCGAAACGAACGGTCAAAACTCGAGAAAGTTCGTCCTGTTGCCGTTTTTGCATCTTGTTGGGACTTCGGTCTCCTGATGATATTTGCTGAAACAAACCAAGATTAAAATGATATTGATTATTGATATTGTATTTTGATCAATTGTATATACTATATTGATTGCATGAACTTATGCAGCAACTTCTTGCGTGTTAATGTTCTTCAGTTTGCTGTGCCCTTAGTCCTATTTGTTCACGGTAGCCAAGCTTGATGGAAGCATCTCCCCTGAGCAGAGAGCCGTCCTCAAATTTGTTTTGCTACCAAAGAGGGGTCGTCACACTCAGAAGCCAACAGGATCGGCCTTGGCAACTGGATATCTTCTGCACCCACTGGTTAGTCCTTCCCTCTCTCCCCCCACGGCACAAACCCTCAAGGATTATTCAATACTTTGATGATCTATACACCCATCAGCCTCTGTGCATTTACCTCTGACCACTCAGACATCTCCCACTGTGGCCCACAGGCAGGGTTTTTGCAGACCTTCCTCTCTTCCGGCCGCACGATGTCTGCAGACTCACACAGATCACTGTAGACGGAGCTGTCGAAGCCCGGCGAGATCATTTTCCAGCATCGGACGATGCGGAACTGGTATCCTTCCCCACAGGTCCGCGAGCACTCGCTCCAGCTGCTAGTCTCCCACCTGCAAGAGGCAACTCAGCACCAGATGACAGGGGCAAACCGAATGGGTGCAAAGCTCTGCTCTTGCAATCCCCCCCCCCACACTCGGGATTTGTGTTGCCCGTAATACACTCTCGTTATGATATTCTTAGACTCAGAGCTGCTTTATATACTTGGTCACATAATCCTATAATCCTACAAATAAGTAGGTCTCAGTTTTGGAACAAAAGGAAATAATGCACTATTGACCCTTAAAGTCACCATTCTGAGAAGTCTTTCTTTCCTTCTTTCCTTCTTTCCTTCCTTCTTTCCTTCCTTCTTTCCTTCCTTCTTCCTTCTTCCTTTCCTCCTTTCCTCCTTTCCTTCCTTCCTTCCTTCCTTCCTGTTTCTAGCCCTTGCGGCTGCACATACACACTTGAACGTGTGTGGGCAATGGCTGCTGAAACCTCAGAGGCCCCCAAACCTGTTCAGAGAGGTTTCCAGGGACCAGAGCATGGGGCTTCAGTGCCCTCTATAGCTCTGTGCTGGAAAACAAAGGAAAAGCCAAGTACGTTTTTGATCCCTATGGCTTTGAAGATGACCAAAGAAGCCTCTGAAGCCAGAGAGGATACGACTGCCAGTGGTCAAGGCGGAGAGTGTCCTGGAGAACTCTGTACCCGAACAAGCATGGATCACACAAAACCAATAAATAAATAAACACCCTTAATTGATGTAGGATTTTTATAAGCCTATTACTGATTTTATGTTGAGGAATTCAGAGTAGGGCGCAATTTGACATCCATAAAATAACTTTATGAGGTAAAATAAGCAGGGAGATTGTAATAGACTGAGACACACCCCCCCCAGGTGAGCTTAATGGCTGACCAGGCACTTAAAATGAGACCCGCGAGATCTCCGTTTTTCCTCTGCACGGCACAGTCTACAGCTATACAGTCAGAGTAAAAGGAGGCATGAAACCACCATGCAACATAGAAAGGAAAAACAAGAAGCCGCAGGACCGTCAGATGAGGTCATATTCTTTATCACCAATAACTCTTTCTCTTCCTCCCCTTGTGACCTTTTACAGTTAAAACAGGGCAAGAGGATCCACTCATCCTCCAACTAGTCAACATTTCTTCTGACCTCAAGGCAGGAGACGTGTTCAATCCCATTCCCAAGCGAGGACTGAAGGTAAAATGACATGCGAAGAGGGAGTCACATGATACTCAGCCCCAGGATTCCTCAGGAGAGCAAACGGGGGGGGAGGAATGCTTTCAGGGGAGAAACAGCAGATGAAAAAGATGCAAAATCTCCCCACTCAAGTGCACCCTCCCCGACCAGTCTGATGATCTCAAATCCTGCCCTGCACACAGGGGCAAAACAGTGCCCAGAAGGACTTTGGCAGGGATGGCATTAAGCCCCCCTGCCCCCCTCCTGCCTGCCGGTCGGTTCCTGCCAGTGGCCCCTCCCCCTCCCTGCATTCCAAGGGATGCCAGTCGCCAGGTGGGACCTGGAGATCTCCTGGAATTACGGCTGAACTCCAGACAACAGAGATCAGTTCCCCTGGAGAAAAGGGATGCTCTGGAGGGTGGACTCTTCTGTGGCCTTATGCCCCCCACCGAGGTCCCTGGCCTCCCCAGGAATCCCCCAACATGGAGTTGGAAACCCTGTCAGTATTCCCATCGTCTCAGCAATCTGTGGGCTGCCCCTCCCGCATGGAACAAAAGCAGTCTGGAGCAGATCACAGGCATGAGAGCATCAAGATCCTTTTTGTGGCTGGCTGGAGAGCATCAAGATCCTTTTTGTGCCGGGCTGGACTGATTCAGACAGGCATTCCTGTGTGCTGGGCAGGACCACACCAAAATAGCCTTGACACAGCCACACACATCATCACACCGAGAACTAAGAGGTGTAGCAAACTCCTACGTGGCACTCTGTACATGGACCAATGAAGGGTCCCTATTAATTGGTTCCCCTTCAGAAAAGGCAGCAGGCAATTGGGAGACCCCTAATCTGGGAAGAAATCCAGGGGAGGGAGAAGGGCTGGCACATCTGTCCGAAACAGGAGCCCGCCACTGCATTTGAATGCAAGGGCAGCATCCCTTGAGGGGAGGATGCAAAAGGCAGGGCCAAGGGAGGACACAGGCTTGTCCTGCACAGCTGCCTGTCAGGTCCCCCCCATCCCCCCCCCCCGGAACTACTCAGGCTCGCCTATAGCCCCAAATGCAGTCTTTCTCTAGATATAATACCTTGGTTGGCATTCTCTTCCTGCACAGAATTCGTGGACTGGCTCAGGACGGGTCATTGCGTCACAGTACATATCGTCCACCTCGATCCCATCATAGCGGACACACATGGCATAGGTGGACATCACACCTATGTTTAAGAAAATATGTAATGCTAACAAAAAGGAAGGGAAGGGGGAAGGAAAAAGGCAGGGGGGGAGAAAACTCAACCCAAAAAGTTGCTATGGATCCACAAGGCCAGATGTTGTTTCCTAAATACTTCTGTATTTGTTTATTATTAATCTATAAGATGGGCCTCCAGTCTAGCCAATTAAAGTCCACCAATAATTCTGGTAGCACAAACTTGCGTGAGTTGAATGTATGTCACTCCATCCTGTACAAATTTGATTAATAATAAACAAATACAGAAGTATTTAGGAAACAACATCTGGCCTTGTACTGTATATAACATCTTATGAATGTAACATCTTATGAAAAAAATTTTTTTTGAATGTATGTCAAATTTATAATTGGAATTGTGACCACTGAGGAAGGCCCTTTGAGGGGCCGAAATGCATTTGGTTCAGTTGCACAGCACTAACCTATCTATGTATGAATGTTGAGAAGTTTTTTTATGTCTGAATGGTATATTTTTAATGAGTCTAAGTTTTAAAATGTGTACACCTGAATAAATTTTGCATTTTTATAATATTTAGAGTCAGCTTAACCCTTGTGGATCCATAAGAAAATATGTAAACCACACCACCTTAGAAGTGCCAGCTGCCGGGGGGGGGGGGGAGAGACCGGCTGGCAGGGCAGTTGCCAGAAAAGCGGTGAAGCCTTTTCTCCCTTTTTTTTAACGGTACACCTTTAACTGCACGGTACACCTTTAACTGCACCAGACCTCCTACAAATACGAGGCACTACCGCTGCTTCGGCCCCAGCTCGCAGAGATTTCATTTTAAGGGATGGCAACTGTACACCACTTACCCACATATTCACAACACTCAGGGCATGTCTGCAGTACAGACAAACTGGCTCACCTGCCTTGACACCCCCTATGGAACCCTGGGAACAATAGTTCTGCAAGGAGGCTGAACATCTCTAACAAAACTGCAGCTCCCAGAATTCCTCTGGATTAGATGAACTCAAGGAAGGGAGTGCAGTTTTTTTAAATGACTGAAATCTGTAGCATAAGAAGAGATGCTGCGGTACATACCAGATCACTTTTGTTCTTTGCCTGTTTTCCAGAATGTTGTTTCGGATCAAAAGGCAAATAAAGGATTTAGAATAATTGCTGCATATTAACAAAGTGTGAGTCCAGTGTCACCTTTAAGACCACAAAAGTTTTATTCCGGGTATAAGCTTTCGCGTGCACACACGCTTCTTCAGAAGTGTATCTGAAGAAGAGTGCCTGCACACGGAAGCTTATACTCAGAATAAAAACTTTGTTGGTCTTCACGGGGCCCCTGGACTCACACGTTGTTCGGCTGCTTCAGACCAACTCAGCTGCCCCCCTGAGTCTATCTGCTGCATATTAGAAAGCCAGGAATTAGAAATACCATCTCCTGTCAGATTACACAGGTGTGTACACTGGCTTGCTTGGAGAGTCAGGTGGCTTGAGGGGACCAGCCGCTTCTTTCCTGCCTCCAAGTGCAGAGGAATAGGATGCTGGAGCAGGGCTAGCCCATTCCACAGGTGCTGTGGGGCATTTATCCCAGGCAAAAGCTGTCCAATGAGAGGGAACCAAGCGACAAGCATCTGGGTACAGTCACCGTTTCTTATCTGGGGCAGAGCACAGGGCCCCCCAGGCATCTCCTGGGTCCAAAGACCAGCACAGGAGCAGCAAGGACAGGAGCCTATGGGAGACAATGCTCCACTCGCCTGCTGAGAGATCCCCTAGCCCAGGGGTGGCCAAACTGCGGCTCGGGAGCCACACGCAGCTCTTTCATACATATTGTGTGGTTCCCAGCAGGGCGGCTGAGGAAGTGAAGGGGAGGCATGCCTCCCTGATTGGTCTTCCCTTTCCCAGCCAGTGTTCCCTCCCTGGATAGGCTTGAGGTGGGGGGGGAGCAGAGAAAGAAAGCAACTGTAACTTTAAATGTGTTCTCAAAGGCCCCCTCCCACCGGCTGGCTTGGAAAAGGCATTTGTTTCTTTAAATCCTTTCTCCAAGCCAAGCCAGCAGGTCGGGGGGGGGGCTTGGAGGATGCATTTAAAGTTACAGTTGCTTTCTTTCCACCTCTCCCTTCCTTCCTCCCCCACCTAGTTGCTTTCTTTCCACCTATCTTTCTCTTTTTCTCTCTTTTTCCCTCCCTCCCCATCTATTTGCTCTCTCTTTCTTTCCACCACTTTCATTATTTCTTCCCACCTCTCTCTCTCTCTCTCTCTCTTAGACAAATAAATATCATTAGCAAACAAGTTTCATTGGACAAATAAATATCTATCGATATCTGTTTCTACCCCTTCTGTTTTTATTTTTGGCAGTCTCATTTAATGTTAATAAAAAGCAAATTTGCCTATTTCCCAATAAAAACGTGTGTGTAAGATTTGTTCATGTCTTGTGGCTCTCAAACATCTGACGTTTATTCTGTGTGGCTCTTACACTGAGCAGGTTTGCCCCTAGCCCAAGGCCTCTGTCAACCAGGCTCCAGCCCTGCCCACCCCCACCCCCCGCTGCCCTGCCCTTTCTTTCAGATGGGAAGTCCACCAGGCCAAGGTGCCGGTTTTGCCCACCCACTCCCTCCTCTCCCTGCTGCCCCTTTGCCCCTTTCCCCATATTCTACCTGTGGTGCAGGTAGAGCTGCAGGGCTCGTGGGAAGACAGCTTCCACCGGTACATGTCCGCAGGACTCATATTTTGACCCTTCCTAAACAACTTCAGCCGGTTCCTAAAGAACAAGAAGCGCAAATGAAAAGGAGAGCTTCTTGTGTTACGTTCAGCGTCAACAGGGAAGGAACAGGGGGGGGAAAGACAACATCAGTCTGTTTGGGGTTTTGGTGGGGTATTTGCTGTGCTTTAACAAAAACAATTTGGGGGGTGAAGGATTCTTTTTAAAATTCAAAATCTGGGATTGTTTGGTTATAATACAACATACCTGTCCTGATTCCCCAAGCAGAATCCCCAGCCCGGTTAGAGGCAGAGCTTCCACTGTCTAGAAATAGAAAGAATTGGGATAAAAATACCCACAAGCAGAAACAGTTCAAATTTTACGACAAATATATCGATAAAAGAGAGATACAGAGTTTGCACTCAATTGCTAGATACATAGGAACTAAAGGTGCAGTATCTCCTTGGCATGGAGCAAAACCAGGCATGCCACCACCCTGGCCCTGAGCCAACAGATGGGCGGGCAGACGAGGAACGTAGCCCCCCGTTCCCCATCCCTGCCTCAGGTCAGCACCCGGACTCAAGGCCCTGATTAACGATGGCTGTAAGCAACGAGAGACCTGTCTGGGACACAGGAGAAGGATGTAAGCTGCTTTGGGTACCCACTGAGGAGAAAGACGGGGTACACAGAGACGCACACACACACTCTCTCTCTAGGGATGCAAGCCAACAGGCTTTTCTGATCCCCTACCCCCATCAAGGTTTCTGGCTCTAATGGTCACAACCATATGTGTGGGCACAGCCTTGTAAAATTTCAGAAATCAGACCAGCGGCTGAAGTAGGTTTTCAGCTTCAGGGCCCTGCAAAGATTTTTAAGACTAGTAGAAGCAGATCAAATTGTGCCACTCAAGGCAAATCATACAAATTAGTTTGAGTTGCATAATTTGTGCACAGTCAGGGTTGCCAACTCCGGGTTGGGAAATTCCAATAGATTCTGGGGATGAAGCCTACAGAGGGTGGGATCTGGGGAAGGGAGAGACTTCAGAAGGAGAATACAATGCCACAGAAGCCACCCCCCGAAGCTTTCAGTTTCCCCAAGACACCGATTTGTGTTGTCTGGAGATTAGCTGTAATTTCAGGAGTTCTCCAGGCCGCACTTGAAAACTGGCAGCCCCTGTGCACACTGCAGGATTCACCTGTGGTTTTTCTTTCAGTAAGGCAGAATTCTATGGCTCTCCTACACCATTTGGTCCAGACAGACTGTCTACATGATTTTATGTATGTATCATTCTGATTCTACTGATCACTCAATGATAATTATGTCTGTATTCTGCACAATACAAAATCAAAAATGTTAAGGAGCACCACACTGTATACACTATTATAAAGAGCTACATATATATCAAAGACAGAACATCCTAAATGTAAGTGATATATATTTAAACATTAGAACATATACATGTTGTAAAATGTGATGCATATACACAGGGGTCGTTTCGTAGAAAAAGAGCCAGGGGAACTCATTAGCATAACTCATTACCATATGCCACACCCCCTGACATCAGGGGCCCGGTGGTGAACCTGCAAGGCCGGCGGGAGTGCGAGGAAGCCCCGCCAAGGCCCTCCCTGGCCCCAGGCAGGCAGGGGTGGGGAGAGGCGGGGAGGAAGCAACTTACCCTCCCTCTTCTCCTGCCTTCTCCTGGCTGAATAAGGGCTGGAAGCGGGGCAGCTGGAAGCAGGGGGCGGGGCTTCATAGTGTGCCCCACCCACCCGCACCTCACCCAAGGGAACTGCGTTCCCCCGCGTTCCCCCCCGAAATGACCTCTGCATATACATTCATTACAAAATCACAGCACAACAGAGCACATAAGAAAGAACAGTATATAATGTAAAACTGCTATCTGTTATTGTGCTATGGTTTTGGAGCTCTTTATAAAAGAAGAAGAGGAGATTGGATTTGTACCCTGCCCTTCACTACCCAAAGGAGTCTCAGAGCAGCTTACAATCCCTTCCGCTTCACCTCCCCACAACAGACACACTGTGAGGTAGGTGGAAATGAGAGAGCTCTCTCAAGAACTTTGAAAGAACTTATGACTGACCCAAGGTCACACCAGCAGCTGCATGTGAAGGAGTGGGGAATCAAACCTGGTTCTCCCAGATTATAGTCCGCGCTCCTAACCACTACACCAAACTGGCTCTCTGTATATATATTGGCTCTGTATAGATACTGGCTCTCTCTCTCTCGCTCTCTATCTCATGTGTGTGTGTGTGTGTCTGTGTATGCAGGGCTCTTTTTGTAGCAGGAACTCCTTTGCATGTTAGGGGACACACCCCTAATGTAGCCAATCCTCCAAGAGTTTACAGTAGCCCCTGTAAGAAGAGCTCTGTAAGCTCTTGGAGGATTGGCTACATTAGGGGTGTGTCGCCTAATATGCAAAGGAGTTCCTGCTACAAAAAGAACCCTGGCAGATGATTATGATGATAGATGATTATGATAATGATCGATGGATGGATGGATGAATGGAGTGGTGCTCATTACCATTTTTGATTTTGTGTTATTACACAATGTGTTTCTCCTTCATTGTCTATATATTCTGCATGATCACAGAATTAAAACACTGATTTTGGAACTGTCCTCAGAATCTAAATATTCTCTCTGTGTGTTCTTTTATTTAAAAGCAGGTTTCCAACTCCATAGAATGTGAAGATGTGGGTTTAAAAGATGTGCATCAAAATCCCAGAAGACGGAGAGGCAAGAGAAAGAGATTTCCAAGGGCGAGGAGGCAGAGTCTTGACATTGGGGTAGCTCCTGGCCCCTCCCCAGGTTCACCAAACCCAAAATAAATTGTAAAAATTTCAGAATAGCCTGTGCAAAATAAGAGAAATTATGGGAAGTATGTTCAGTGTGCTGGCTGCAGAATTCAAGCAAAATATGGATTGCCTGGGAGTAATATGTCAGCAAGTTTGGGTGTTGTTGTTTTAAGAAGCAGCACTTAGAATTACATCATCACACAGGTAAATCCCATCAACATTGTAAGAGCAACAGAGTATACTGCACCTTTACAGTAAGCAAACATTCCAAACTACACTCATAGCTCACTTTAAAAACATTCAGAAGGGCTGTCTTGCTTTAGGATGGACATCAAATATAACACTGAGAAGCTGTCTCTGGATTGCCAAATCATCTTGCTTGTGATCATTTCTGGACAGCAGAAGCTCTGGCATTGCCCTGTTCATACATTCTTAAGAAAAAGGACCCTTATTTGGTTTTTTCACAGGAAAATGTTCAAGGGACACTGTTCAAGGGACACTGTGGAGTATTCCCCCCCCTTTTAATGCTTTCCTTTTAAACATGTGCTTTTCCAGCGCAGAGATATCATTCATAAGGCAGCTAACCCACTACAGAGTTCTCAGTGTTCAGTCCTGCACTGCTTAATAATGATCAAATCCAAACACACTTGCTTTGTATCAAAACCTAAGACTATGTGACTTTCCAGTACTGAAGGAAATGAAAGCTAAATTGCCAGTCTTTGGTCAAAGCAAAGGCCCTCCTTATTTCTTCCTTCCTTCCTTCCTTCCTTCCTTCCTTCAGACAAGGGCATCTTAGAACTAAAAAAAGCCTCAAAATATAAATCAAACTTGCTCTGTGGGGTTATTTACCAAATGATATAATGACAGAGCAGCACTGCCTAGTCATTGACTGGTGGATTACAGCATGCATCCTGGAACAGAAAAAAGACAAGTGAAGAAAGAATGTCGGACTTTTTTCTCTTTCCAGGGCTTGTAAGCAGAGGTGGCTGGAGGGTTAAATCCCCCCCCCCCAGTGTGGCCCTGATACAAATCTGCTTTTAAACGGGATCATAGACCTTCCAGAAGAAAGGTTTTGGGGAACTTCATGTGACCTGGAATTCCAAACCTGATGGAGGAATTATTGGGTCAAGTTCTTCTGTGGAGTGCGCCCTCCCAGGAGTCTGTTCTGGCCTTGAGACCTTCATGTCTGTAGGATGGCACTTCCACGAGGCTTTCTTTTGCAAAGCAGGCCTGGCTTTGCTTCAAGCAGGTTCAATGCTCAGTCCTGCCCTTGAAAGAGTCTTGGGTAGCAGGTCTCTGCCTCGGAAAGCTGCTGTCATTTGGGACTAGAGACTATCCTGGTCTAGATGGACTAGTGGTCAGACAGCATCTCAAAAGCAAGCAGATGTCTTCAACAGTGTTGTGTCTTGTTCCAAAAGAAAGAGCGGCATTTATAGGTAATGATGTCACAACCATGGTGTCTGAGGTAGGCTAGACATGGTGTCATCTTGTGGTGGACAGAACTCCACTTGCAGCCCAGCAGACGGTCATTACACTCATCTTCTTTCCTTTCTGGTTGCACTGATCACTCCAGGTCTGTTGACTAATTGCCTGTGCCAGCACCATTTTATTATATACGTGTATTTAGAAGCACAGGATCCTGCCAGGAAAAATATATTAGCAGAGATATTCCTTGCTTTTGCAGTCTCTCCCTGGGGTTGCCACCTTTTCAAATGGCTCTAATACTCTGCCTAGCAGCAGCCTTCTATGAACGAATTTAGTCTTTCTCCTCACCTTATGTCCCCAAAAAGTTTCACTTGCTTTACTTCTGTATCGGTTGCATCGAAAAAACACAGCAGTGATTGATGTGAGAAGTGCTTTAACTCCTTTCGGAAGCTTGCCTGCACACCAGTCCTGTAAAGTAGCTCACCAGGATCCCCATAACCTCAAAGGGGTCTGGGGCAAGAATACAGCAAGGAGCTGACGCTTTTGCCACCTTTTTCCATTGGCCCTGCTCTTGTGAATGTAAAGATTTATGTGCAGAAAAAAATAAGTAGCTTAAAGACACAGGAAAAGACCCAGAAAAACAAGTTGGGTGAAGCTTTTCTACCAGCTTTACCAGCATCCTCCGAAAAGCTTTAGCTGTGGGCAGTCCACAGCTAAGGTTTTTCCTAGGACGGAATCTGGGTTCAGGCTTAAAGGCACAGGAAAAGACCCAGAAAAACAAGTTGGCGACCTTATCTCCAACTGAGGCTTCTCATACACTCTTCC